CTTTTAATTTATTTATTTACAAAATATATCATTAACAATTAATTATAAATAGTACATTTTATTATTAGTAATTAGCTGTCAATAATAATAAATATATATAAAAATTAATCTTAATTATTTTTAAAAATAATTATACTTAAAATATTTTACATGAAATTATATAAAATTTAAGTTACCTTATAATTAAAAAAATTTTTACGTGCATTGCATGTGGTAATACACTAGTTTATTTAAAAGATTGGAGTACTCTTTGATGAGTTGCAAGTTTAAGGTAGGGTATTTTATTTTATTCTTTTTAATTGAGCCATATATTTATTATATAAATAAAAAAAATTAGAGGAGTTTGCAAGTTTAACAAAAAGGAAAACGTGAATCAAAATAACAATTCATGAATATTGAGAGTAATTGGTGTGATTGTAAGACCTTAGTTAAATTGTTAATCAGTTACTATAGTATTATACAATTTTATTAGTTATCTGATTTTCTAGGTAATAAAAGTAAACCTGAACATATAGCTTAATTGGTTAARACATCCATCTCTATAAAAAATTATATATCAAAAAGTTGGAGGTTTGATACTCCCCTAGCTCACATGTTACTCTACTGTATTAAATTTACTCATTAAAACAATATATATAATTAAAAAAAAGATTGGCCTCATGACCACTCCTAATCCTCTAGATCTATCGATGCTCATAAATATAATATAGATAATTCAATCTTTTTAGTACAACATATAAGATGAGGAATCGAACTCACAACTTCTCGATTGAAGATATATACCAATTATCATTGAGCTATACTTGTTTTGGCATATAGATAACTCAATTATTCAAAGTGTTCCGTCTCTATATTCATCCGTATTGTTGTACTTGACAAGAAAGAATGATGATACAAACTTTAATTTCCCCCGCATAAAAAAGTCATAATCTTTACTTTATCAGTTTCACAAATATATATATTTTTTAAAGTCATGGCCAAGGACAAAGCGGAAGAGAGAGAAAAAGAATCCTTAGTCCATCGAAATTAAAAAATATATATAAAATATAGTAGTTTAACTTCGTCTACTTTTAATCTCTTCAAATTTAAAAAATGAAAGATGATTTTACATAAAAAGGTTAACCCGTAAAAGGATCTTATTAACCCGTAAAAGGATCTCAAATTGATAAAAGAATGGACCTTCCATAGATTTATAATAGATATTGATTACTCTTTTTATTGTCAATTAATTTTAAGATTAAAACCACATAAAATATTAATATGGTATCATAGTCTAAAACGCTCAAACGAACAATCGATTTAGAAATGAGATCCGCCTAAGATCAGCCACAATCTTACAATCCCACAAATATTAATATATGACGAGTATGAAATGGAGGGTGGAGATTAAATCCATAGTTTCCCTCCAGGGCGTGGCGAACGTGACGTGGTCATGCATTTCCGTTATAGCGTTCTCATAGATTTGTTGGTGCATGCATGCAAATGCAAGCAGTGGGCTGCCCGGCATTATTACTAGTTGACTCCACCACTAATTCCGTTAGGGATATTATTGATTTTTATTTTCCTTCCACATAAATTTAATTTATCTTCCAAACTACTTTTCGTTCTAAAGTTATAAAATTACAAAGGCCACCATAATATTTGTTTTTTTTTTCCTTTTTTACATTACCGAAAATTTTGAACTTTGTTGAATTTTCTTGAATTGATTTCCTTATATAGTTTACTTCTATTTTCAAAAAATCAAATAAGTTTGGTCCACGTCGAAATGAAATAACTTTGACTTAACAAATTCAATTAATTTATGATATATATTTAAAATTAAAACCTACCTCCACCCATTACACTTGTATAAGGAAATGAAATACCGAGAATATGAACTAAATAAATACAAATTTAAAACAAGATACGGTGAAATAAATTAATAATATTTTGAGTTTTTATTTGATGATAACGTGAGAACTTACCACCTTAAAAATAAATTCTAATTTTACCCGTGAAGTACGAATCAAAAGTTGAAAGAAATATTGTGACGAAAACAGTGATAGAATCTTTTGAGTTGTTCTGCCGGATCGGTCGTTCAAGACCTTTGGTCTCTACCCGGATCCGATGAAAAAAATAGGATCACTTCTTATGGACTCGTTGAGAATGATTCTGATCTAGTTCATGGCCTATTAGAAGTAGAAGGCGCTCTGTTGGGATCYTCACGGACAGAAAAAGATTGCAGTCGATTTGATAATGATCGAGTGACATTGCTTCTTCGGCCCGAACCCAGGAATCCCTTAGATATGATACAAAATGGATCTTGTTCTATCGTCGATCAGAGATTTTTCTATGAACAATACGAATCAGAGTAATCCAACAAAAAGAAAAATTAAGAGAAAGTAATTAGAGAAGAAAAAAAAGATAGTAACAGAAGAGAATATCACAAAAGTCGTACTTGAATTTTTTTCGCAAATATAACCTATGATTTTTTTTAATATCATTATAATCAACATTCTTTCTATCAGACAATCTAATAACTATCGATATCATATTTTACTATCAATCTAGCATTAAATAGAAAAAATATTTACCAATACAGATATAACTAAGTAATAATGAGTATCTACTCTTTTCTTTTTTAAGTAGTAAGTTCAAACTCGTACCCCAGTTCATTGTATTAAAAGTGAGAAATAAAATATGGATAAAACTTGGCTCCTCACTAGCAACCTTGTCTACACCACGGTTAAATATTTGACAATTAAGAGAGATCAAATATTCAATGATGATGTGGACAAGATTGCTACCTACTAATTAAGAGCAAATTTTATTGATGAAATATTTACCACCACTTCTTCCCCATTCTCGTTAGAAAAAACTCCATCGTCCTAAATATATAAGAATAGGACAACGTTTGGAAGAAAGAAGAAAAAAACACACACTCGCTTACCCGGATCAGCAATTGACCGCAAAACCACAGGGAAGACTTAGAATGTAAAACATCAAATTATCCACTTTCCAATGGGCGCGTGTAAGACACCGGCCAATCATCAAGGTCCACGATGCCTGGTTTCGATATGTTTTTCATACACGGCATAATCAATCGCGTGGTACTAAGGTTCCCGTCTCTGAATTCCGGTGCGAGGGCGTCCCAGCTTTAAAAAAAAAAAAAAAAAAGAAAAACTGGGTGGCGTCCCCGCTTTGTTCCAGTTTCCAGCCCCACCATCAAAATTTCACTTCAATTTTCCTTCCGCCTCATGAGGTGGCACTCTTGTTCCTCTACTAGATTTCCAAATTTTACGAAATTTGCTGTTTTTTCTTTTTCTTTTTTGTAATTATGAAATTCAATTAATTTGCTTCACTGAAACTAGTGATGGTCCGTCGGATCTATCACCTTATTTCCAGAAAATTTGGATTTAATTTCGCGCCGTTTCATCTTTTTGGGCAAACTGAGAGGAACCAACGTTGTGAATTTTCTTAGTTGTTTTGTTCTAATTCTGATATGCTTATTCTTCTTCGGAATTGCAAGATAGGGTGCAAAGATGAGCTCTCTGTCTTCTCAGGTGAAGCTGAATTCCTTATGTTGTTGCTACGAATTACGTTGTGAGGTGCTATGTGGATTGAAGTTCCAAGTATTAGCTTAGGTTGCTTGTGTTTATTTATATCTAATTTGATCGAAATTGGTGGGATTTTGTCTGATTATTATTAATGTTTCGTCGTTTGAATTTCTTCCATTTTAGGTTCCCTCTGTTCGTTTTTTACGGGATTGTTGAACAATGAAGAACTTTTCGTGACTGAACTTTCCAGGTGAATCAAGTTAGCTCACTCCTTCGACCTTCCGTGCAAAAATGTTGTTCTGGGATATATGCCTCTTCCGCATTTGGTCTTATGACTTAGAATCTTCGACGTATCAATTTTCCAACCCTTATTAAGTTATAAGTGAAAAAATCCAGCTGATTGTTCACAGTGGGTGTCTCAATAGTTCAGTGTTTATTATTATTATTATTTTTTAAATGTGAATTTATGACTTTTAAAAAAATTATTCTCGATGATTATTATTCTTCAAATGGAATGCTCTTTCCAATTTTTCGTGGGATATCTTGTCCTGAACTTTCTTTAAGTTCTGTTTTCCTAATGAAATTTTCACTTTTAAGATATCAACTTCCATTGCACCTAATCTTCCTCTCAGGTTTAATTGATACTATCTGAAACTGTAAGATGGGAACTCAAAGTCAAACAGGATTAATAGTACAAAACAAGATGCTTCCTCCTCAATCTGGAAGATTTCAAGATCGTGAAGATCTCATTAAATATGTTCGTGATTTTGGTGCTGATCAGGGATATGTGGTAACGATTAAGAAGTCTAGGAAAGATAGAAGGGTCATCCTCGGTTGTGATAGAGGGGGTGTGTACCGAAACAGGCGTAAGATTGATGAGAGTCGACGCAAAAGGAAAGCTAGCTCACGCTTGATAAATTGTCCGTTTGAAGCAATTGGTAAGAAGGAAGATGATGTCTGGATGCTTACCATTAAAAATGAGGACCATAACCATGAGCCCTTAAAAGACATGTCAGAGCATCCTTATAGTCGCCGTTTCACTGAGGATGAGGTAAAGCAAATAAAACTGATGACTGAAGCTGGTATAAAACCACGTCAAGTGCTTAAAGCTCTCAAGCAACATAATCCAGATCTGCAGTCAACACCAAGGCATTTGTACAACCTCAAAGCTAAAATTCGTCAAGGAAACCTATCAGGTTATTACTCGTATCTATCTTTGCAGCAGAAAGATTCATTACTTGCTAATGTGGGAGATAAGGGGAAAAACAAGAAAAAGAAAAGAAATCTGTAGTGCCATTGGCTCTCGATGGAGGTAGCATCAGAACTGAATCCTTTGTTATATGCTCGAGTCATGGTTGGTTTTGGTTTTTCATGTACCGATTTTTATGGGTAATATAATCGTTGGGAGCATCTCATCCAAGTTGCAAGTTAGAAGAGTGATTTAAGAGTTTGAAGTTTTTGCCACAATTACTCATACTACTCTAGTACATCCAATTTTGCTCAAAATAATTTGATTTGATAAATGACCACGTTAGGGTCTGGTTGGCAACGTTCCTATTTCTTATTTTTCGTTTTCAATTTTATTAAGAAACCTAAGCATTTGACAACTATTTATTTTCCTCGTTTCTCATTTTTTAGAAACATTCTCAAAATAATATAGAAATTTTAGAAATAACAAAAACCTTGTTTCTTGTTCCAATTTCCTATATGTTCCAAAACATAAATAAAAATATAGTTTTATCATTATTGAATTCATGGGTGTTGGGGCATGCAATTCTTTTTTTTTTTTTCCCTTCTTCTTCCTGTTAAAAGGAGGAAACATAAACAAGAAACGGAACGTTACCAAACAGGCCATTTCTGTACTTTTGTGGAGTTATAGGCACGAAGTTGTAATATAGAATAGTATGTATGGATGCTTTTCTGAAACTCAGACTCTTAAACAACATTAACTTCTTATTTTCAGAAAAAAATTTCAAGTCATGGCGACCTAATATCTCAGTTCCTGCTAATAGTAGTGATACTGTCATTGGGAATACAGCCAAGCAAAACCTTCAGCCGGTAAGATCCAATATGAAAGGACAATAAATGACGTAGATCAGATATCCCTATACTCCTATTTGATTGTTTCTATGTATATGTACAAATATTTGATTGACTCGAAGGTGAAAATAATTGATTGAATTGTAGAAAGTTCCTAATTTTATTGGAGGAGAATTTTTGGATTCGCGCAACTGTTCAATGGTTGATGTTATTAATCCAGTAAGCTCTATATTTCAGACAATCTATTTGCTTATAATTGGGTTGGGGCTGTACATGTCAATCATGGTGTGCACTCTACTTTTGGATTAGGCAACACAAGAAGTTGTTTCTCAAGTACCTTTAACAACCTATGAAGAGTTTAAGGCTGCAGTTAATGCAGCAAAACAAGCTTTTCCCTCCTGGAAAAATACACCTATTTCTGCTCGTCAACGTATTATGTTCAAGTTCCAGGAGCTCATCCTCAGAGACATGGTTAGTACTACTCATTTCTTTTTCAGACTTTTTTGAAATATATGAACCTTGATTTTCGATATGACAATGATTCTTGTTATTAGGATAAGCTTGTGACGAATATTGTCACAGAACAGGGCAAAACATTAAAGGGTGCTCAAGATGATATCCTCTGTGGTTTAGGTTGGTATATGCACTTATATCTTGCAGCATTATCCTATCACATGATCACATATGAAAAGATTGCACTCATTTGCCTTCTGTGTTGCTTGAAGAGGTGGTCAAACATGCTTGTGGATTGGCCGCTATGCAAATGGGGAAGTTCGTCCCTAATGCATCTGATGGAATTGATTCCTACTGCATCCGAGAACCACTAGGTGTTTGTGCTGGGATATGCTCTTTAAACCATCCAGCAACAATTTCCTTATGGGTATGTTGCCATGCTTTCTCTTTGATTCTATTGACAGGCATTCCTTTTCCCACTTCCTCACTTTATTTCATACTTTTACTGCACATAAATGTGTTGCATAGTATCTATATAAATATGCTTCAATAACCCACTTTCATAATTAGAACTTATATAATCTAACCTTTTCTGTTTTGGCCTGGTATTTGATGAACTTAAAACGAGTTATAGTCATGCAGTTGACTCGATTATATTCGATTGCAGACTATAAACTTACAACCTTAACCCATCACCACTTGCAACAAATTAGATTCTTTGATTCCGATTAGTGCAAGGGATCTTGTACTAAGAAATAGATTCTAGAAGCTATTAGGAGCAATTTCAATAATCGAGTTAAATATTTTCTTGGAATGTTTCGAATTAGCCTCCAAGATCTTGTTCTAGCTCGCAGGTTGAAAACTTAAAACTCTTGGTATTTATCAGAGCTAGTCTGGGAATGGTTGAAGTCTCCTCAAAAATAGGGGTGGGTCATTAGCATGATGCAAAGGGAGTGAAGCCTCAGATCCTAGTTATATAAAAAAAATGACCAAGTTATATAAAAAAATGGTAAATTTATTCCTTTAAAAAGTTTGATGAAAATGTATATGAAAAAAATTATAAACTTAAGAATAAAGGACATTTATGATTTAGATTTAGGTGCAATGTGAGAATAATGTTCTACTCTTGAAATATGGGAAAAAAAAACTCAAGCATGATACAATTATAATCAATGAAAGAAAAATGATGCTATTCTGGACAAATAATGATAAGTTGTTTATTGAATAATATTCAAATGAAATTATCTTGATGAGACTATTGAAGTAAGGGAGGTTTATGAACTGATAGATTACCCTTGGACATGATACGAAATCTTTAATCCTAAATTCTAACCTTTCCATCCGTCTAAAATTTTGTTTACTTCAGATCTGGGGAAAATAGGCATGTGCCAGAACGATGAGGACAAAATGGATATATATAGATTTTTCTCTGATAGCACCATGTATCTACTTGCCTATACATACACACACACATTGATTTAAGTTTTATGTTCTATTATGGTTTGTTTTGTACTTGAGAATCTTTGATTTTCAAATTTATAAAATCGATTGGAATGTTGTATTCTAAGTCTGTTATCCTTACAATGCAGATGTTTCCGATTGCAGTTACATGTGGCAATACATTTGTCCTTAAGCCATGTGAAAAGCACCCGGGTATGTTTCAAAACCTGTCTCTTTCTCGTCCTAGTGAACTTGATAAATGAGTTCCCACATTTGCAGCAGAAATAAGTTCCTCTTTTCCTATTATTAATTTTCCTACCAATCACATCCAGTTGGTTGATTGCAATATCAAGTCAGTTTATTGTTAGGTTATATATACTCTATGCTATGTCCAAAATAATATAAATGATGTTATGGGTAACTGAACTGTGATTCAATATAAGCTGGCTTAAGGTTTTGAAGATCGTATTGGGTTCTTAGAGTTTATAGCTGGTGAGCTTAGGGCAAGTCTTTTACTTTTTTTTTCTTTACAATTGTCATATCAAGGGTACCTTGGGTTCTGTATCTTACACTTTTAGACGTTGTAATTATAATCCCAGATGTCCTTTAACGCTGAATAAGAAGTACATTTTCATGTGTAAATGGACTTGACTGCATCCCTCATATCCATGGTATGGTTTCATGGTGGTTATCACAACCGTTGGTTTTTGCTTTTTGGTAGCAAAATTGACTTGTTATCTTATGTGATTTGCTGCTTGGGTTTTGGAAACTCTGATATTTTATTCCCTGATCTTATGTAATATAATATCTGTAGACTTATTTTTGTTGCTGATTCTTTTGGTTTTTTTTTACGTGCAGCATAAACCTAAAGGTTATTTAGCCTTGTATTTGTTATCATTTTTTCATGTATGAACCTTGATACAAATGCCTCTTATTTATTTCCTGCACATCACAGTTTTTAACAGTCAGTAATATTGTCTGTTTCAGGGGCTTCAATGCTACTAGCTGCATTAGCAGTGGAGGCTGGTTTGCCCGATGGTGTTCTAAATATTGTTCATGGAACCCATGTAAGAGAGTTCTTTAGAGAGCTATTGTTTCTTTTGATTGACATCTAGCCTATGGCTATAGTTCTTCCTGAATTAATCTACTACTACTTTTAATTAATTATGCAAGTAACAAACATGTTAATATATTAAATAATACTAATTTTAATTAATCATTAACTATTAGACAATTAATTAGTACTTGTTTATCATTTTATAGTTAATTATTCAATTAAATAAATTTATTTTAAGTGAAGAAAACCTGTAAAATAAACTAAGACATTTAACTACTAAACATTAATTCTCTTGCAAATCCAAATATAAATATTTAATATCTCAGTATCTCACACATTTAAATTCTAGACATTTGACTTCCTAAAAGTTAATACATATCCTGATATCCATTAAATAAAACCCTCCATTTAAATGGGCCATAATAACTTGGTTTCAATTGGGAGGATATTGATCTCCTTTTCGTGAATCTTGATTTTCAATGAGTTATATCTAGCTTATTATGGCTTCCTGATTTTAGTTTATGGATTACTATTCAAATCATAAAATATTGCAAACATTTAAATAATCGGTAGTAAAAGTAAACTTGTGCCATCACATTTTATGAGCGAACTTGGAAACATTGCCCAAGCTTGTAGTTCTTTATTCGTCCTATGCTAGTTTGGCTAGGCATGTTTATAGGAGTTGCACCTTCTTGTATACTGCTCGTGCTCTTGAATGAAAAAGGTGGTGTCTAAAATTTCTGACATCACCCCACTGGTAAAGTTTTTTTATACTTTTTCTCTTTTCTTACATTATTTTTTTGATATGGAACAAAGGATGTATTGAAACTATAGAAAGAGACAACCTAAGGGTTGGGAGAAGAGAGATCCCCCTCCCAAAAGAACTAGTACAACCTTCCAATCTTGGGCAAACATGGCTAGACTATAATTGTAAAAAGAATTTCTGTGAATAGAACATTATAAAGAAGCATTAAGCTGTACACAATTTAGTTTTTTAATTATTGTGACTAGTTTCTATAACATCATAGGTCACATAATATCATCATTAATGTCCTGATCATGTAAGTAAGTTATCTGATTCATATTACCTCCTTCATTTTTTGTTTTTAATTTCTTTGGTCAGGATATCATTGATTCTATATGTGATGATGAGGACATAAAAGTCATATCCTTTGCCAGTTCAAGTACAGTAAGTTGCTTATCCTTATTAATAGATGAAATGCCTAATGACAAAATATGAGGAGATATATTTGACGAGTCTTTTATGAATATTGATACAAGCACATATAAATATCTTGAGGAAACTGACTTTTAATTCAATGAATCGCATCTTACATAATTTCCATTACGTTCAATTCTATGATGACTACTTTTCATGATTAAAACACTTTCCACATAAGTTTCATTCTTTTACATGATTAAAAAAGAAAATTTCTTGCAAATTTATTGTGTATTTTGGTTGACTATTCTCAATTTTCATTTTCTTGTCTGCCTCCTTTACTATTTATTTTACTTAAAGGCTGGAAAGAATATACATGCGAGGGCAGCTGCCACTGGAAAACAAGTTCAGGTGAATCCTATTTGTTCATCCACTATTTTATTTATTTTGGTAATTGGTAAAAGTGTTGTAACGTTGGGGAAAATAATTTGGCTGATTTTTGTGTTGATTGCTTAGTCCAATTTAGGAGGCAAGAGTCATGCAATTATTATGCCTGATGCTGATATGGGGGCTAGTTTTAGTGCTGTTGTTGGTGCTGGATTTGGTACTGCGGGACAGACATGTATGACTCTCAACATTGTTGTCTCCGTTGGAAGTTCAATTCTATGGTATAGTGATTCTTTTGTTTATCACAATCTTATTCTTCTGGAATTCTTCTTCTCGATGGAGTTCATCATTAATGAACAATTAGTCTTCAAAATTCGTTGTCCTTTAGACACTGTTTTGCCTATCATTGTAGTATCTAGTTTGTTGAGATTTGGTCATGATCTTCTTGTTCTTGTATCAACCTGCTCTTTTGCAATGAAAAATTCAAAACTTCTATTTTATTTATTTTATTTGTTATTTTTGTTTATTTGTTATTTTTGTTATTTTTTAAAATTTATTTATTTCATTTTTGAGTTTAAGATCCTTGAGAGAAGTTGCTTTCTTTAAGAGCCAGGATATGAATTTTGTGGTTGCAAGCTTAGGCAGATTGGTTCGAGAGTATCTAAGAAGATTAGCTTTCATAAATTATTATCATATTCATTAAATGCTATGTAAGACAACCAAGTGACACCTAAGTCTTTGTCTGGTGCAGAGATCTGTTTACTTCACAGTATTTGCATTATAAAGCTTGAACACATTTGTGTACATCATCATGCCCCATGATATTTCTACAAGTGTTAAATATCAACATATCATGTTCTTTGACTCCCAACTGCCTTTGAACTTCTGCCTTCTTTCTACTTGTAAATACGATTTTCTTTGAACTTTTCAAAACAAAAAATTAGCAGTACCGTTTGCATTGTGAAAATAATGAAATTTCGATGGATCATGAACTAAAAATACTTCTGATTAGTGAAGGCATGTTGACCAATAGTTTTCAAGTTTAGATAGACTTGTCAATCATTTTCTCAGTTATGGTGCTCCTTGGAGAGTATTTAAATATCTCGACATATGAGTTCTCTAGTTATTAATACTCTATATCTACGATGATTTTCCAGGGAAGAAAAACTTGTGGAATGTGCGAAAGCACTTGAAGTGAATGTGGGGACAGATCCCAATGCTGACCTTGGTCCTGTAGTTACCAAAGAGGTATGTATACAGAAAGACCAGTGACCTTTCTTTAGGTTTATGGTATTTATGATCTATGCACATACAGGAGACGATTATTTTGCCTCGTTACTCGCTTTGACCTTTTCAGGTGAAGGCTAAATTCTAACTTTTATTTGGATTTGAAACTTTGCTGTTAAAGCTGGCAGTCCATTCTTTTGTGAAAGTTTTGCCAATGAATCTTCTTCATCAAAAAGTAACTTTATTCCATGTTCAGTGTTTTGTTTTTTAGGTGTTGTGACACTCATATTTACTTCTTTTTCTAAACAATTATAAGAAACCATACTGTACTATACTTTTAGTGGACATTCATGTCTTTATGCTACTCTGCACAATCACATTCAACTGTTATATTAATCGGTGTCCTTGGGGAAATCCACAGGTGAAAGATCGTTTATGTAGATTAGTTCAAAGTTCCATTGAAGGTGGTGCTAGACTCCTGCTTGATGGTAGAAACATTGTGGTACAGATTTGTTACTATTCTCAGTTTGTTAATTAATAAAGTCTTGTGATTATGTTTGACTGAAACCCAATGGATCCTGCTTTTCATTCGATTAAAAATAGAACTTTCCTTTGTAGGTGCCGGGATATGAAAATGGAAACTTTTTTGGTCCTACTATTCTATCCGATGTAACAACCGACATGGAGTGCTACAAGGTACTTTTATCTCTTTCTGTTGTTCCCTATTCAGAATGAATGTAATTGATTATTTAAATCTTTTCGAATTTACTTAATTGATTATTTAATCTCTCAGCAATATCTTGTGTTGGCAGGAAGAATTTTTTGGACCAGTTCTCCTTTGTATGCAGGTACTACCTAGTTTTTCACCCATTTGGTAATGTGTCACGTTGTCTTCATCTGGCTGTCTTATTACTTTCTTTTGGTTTTATCGGCAGGCGGAGAACCTAGAGGAGGCTATATCCATTGTAAACAGAAACAAGTACTTCTTTTAACTCTACTGATTTCTAAACTGGGGTGACATTTAGATGCCATACTTTAACCATTACAGTCATTGAGGTGCTGCATTCCATTAACTATTTTACCTTTTTGATGCTGTAACTTTTTCTTTTATAAATTTGTAGTACTTTTCTTTTGGATCTTGGTGTTAGTTGTAGCTTTTTGAAGCCGCTTTCCTTGAAGAACAAAATTAGTAGACTCTTTTTTTGTTGACTCTTTTTTTATGGATAAGGTGTTGCACGCGCAAAATTCCTCCTTGTTAGCATGACTTCGTGGACATATGTTTGAACTACTCTTGTCAAATTTCCTGCAGGAACCGAAATGGAGCTTCCATTTTCACAACTTCTGGCATTTATGCGAGGAAGTTTCAGAGTGAAGTGGAAGTGGGAATGGTAAGTAATCAAATTGAAGGATATATTTAATTATTTATGTTATACATTCTGAGTAGCTCTGACATGTCAATTATAGTGTTAAGTGAAACCTTTGTACTTCGAGAATTTTCATGGAAGTTGTAAGCAGGTTTACAGCTAATTAAGATTTCCATATCGTAACCCTAACCTTAGACCTATTTTACTCTATAAATGTTGGATTTTCACCCTACATATTGCTTAATATTTGTTATTTGTTTTCAAGTTCCTTTTTCCCCTCCTAAATCCATTTCAGGTTGGTATCAATGTTGCTGTTCCAGTTCCATTGCCATCTTCCTTTAATGGTTTGAACTCATCTTTTGCTGTAGATCTAGTTTTTTTCGGTTCAATGATCATTCTGTCTTACTTGCAATATTATCCTTCATTTCTTTTTCACGCTACTTTGTCCTCTCACTGTCTGGTTTTTAATTTGAAGATAAGGCAGACCTGGAATTTTACACCAAGTTGAAAAGAGTGGCTCAACAGTGGAAGAACCTACCAAGTATTGGAGTCTCAATGGCAACGCCTTCCCCATCTGAGAGAGATTTGAGAGCTCGTGCTGTACCTCCAGTGTTGGCTTCAATGTGTGAGAAGGATTCACCTGGTGGGCACGGAAGTTTACCTCCGCTGCCAAACCCTCGAATATCTCAGACAGATTTAACCATTGAAAGAGCCGCCTCATCTCCGCCAACTCCTGACAGGGATTTACATGGTCCAGGACTCTCCCTGATTTCAACTTTATCATCAGAGGGGGATGTATCCAACCAAGATCTGTCCCCTGCTATGCCTTCAGCAGCTGATAGCAATTTACCTGGCCAAGCTATGTCAATGGCTACATCCCGATCATCCGAGAGACTGTACATACCTCAGAAATCTCATTGGAATGAAACCCAGAGAGCTGATTCAATTCCACCCAGTTCCGAGCAGATCCATGGGCCCTCATCACATACAAACAGCATTAAAGCACAGGCATCTCGATCGACTCACCCTGCTTTGGTCTTAGCTGCAGAGGGTTTATACGTGCCTACATCTCATGACAGTATTTGCCTGATAACCCATGGAAGTGATAGCACAGTTCCATCTCGAAGAATCGGCAGCATCTGTCAACCATCGGAACGAGTATACATGCTAGCAACTTCCCATCTGAACGACAGTATGAGTCAAACATTGCAGAGAACTGATGCCTCCATGTTTTCTTCTTCTGAGAGGCATTATGTGCCTCCCACTTCTCATAAAAATGACCACATCAGCTTGGCCTCTCATACCGAGGTTGCTTTGCAATCAACTTCAGATAGGATATACTTGTCTAGCTTGACCGAGAGGGAAGATAATATGGCTTCCGCTGCTTCTCAACAAGCTGAATCTTTTACATCCACTTCAGATAGAATGTATATACCTCCATTAGTTCATAGAAATGCAGGCATGCCGCCTAAATCCGAATGGTTATGCATCCCAACTCCTGCTGCACCTCAGAGAATGTATCCGCAAGGTCCAATAGTTTCAGCAGATGAATTTCAAGGCCAAGGAGCATCATTGACAATGCCTGCATCCCAAAGAATATAAGGGATCCTAGAAATACGAACACTAGAACTTAGGATAGCCAAATTACCATTTTTTCCTCTACCAACAAATCACTCATCATTTACAGAGAGCTCGTTCGTTCATGGTTCTGTTTCTCTAGATGTGAAAGTTGTTCAGACACAGTTGCTCATGTTGCTCATTTGTCTATATTGGATTGGCTGTATGATTTGTAAAGGGGTTTCCCCATTGGCGATATGGGTTTGAAGTTCTGAACAAGGGAAATTCTAGTCTAGGAATGTAAGAGTTTAGCCTCCTATCCTGCCCTTGCGCTCGCTCTTGCTCTCCCTCGTTATTGCACAGGCATGTTCGATCTTTGATCTGCGTAATTGAAATCCATAGTGTTTGAGACGTTAATTACTCAAATAACAGTTGGTCTAAAGATTTAAAGATTCAGTGAGAATGATATCACTTTCGAAATAACCACATTTAGCCGATCACTTTTCAGAATTTTTATTGGTATAATTTTTATGTGAAACACTGAATTTTTTTTTTTAAGGAAAACTTAAATCCCTTGAAATCAATTTAAAAAAATAGAAATTGGAAGCTAAAAAAATATATAATAATAATTTTGTTCTATCTAAAATTTCTACGAAAAGTGAGAAAGAAGAATCATTACCAAAATACTATTCATTCTTAAAAAAAACTTTAAACGATAAATAAGAAATAAGAAACAAACATGATCTAAAATTTTCTTTTTCCTTTTAAGAACTAATTATTGATTCCAACATCATAATGAATATTTATCCACATTGATTTCAACCATATATATAACCCTTATTTCTAAAAATAATTTACTCAAATTTAAAAATCTTTTTATCCCTTTCCATAGGTGGTTTTTTTTTTATATTTTTATTTTTTTAATACAATAAGTGAAAGTGAGAGATTAAACTCATGAGCTGTCCTCGCTTTAATTTTTTTTTCTTCTTACACAAGGAGTTGGTAGATGGTTTGTTTAACTAAACCAAAAATTATAATAGTATATATTTGTCATTATTTCACATTTTTATTAAATCGAATTAAAAAAAGATAAAAGTCTAAATTATTTATTTTAATTTTTCTTTTGCAAAAGTACTAAACAAATGAAATTTTAGTGCAAGGTACAAAATAGATGGAATACATTATGAAAAATACTTGAMTCCTTAATATTGAGGACGATTAAATATTTGATAACTAAGAGAAAAATACAAAAACAAACATGTTTTTAAATAGAATGAGTTTTCAATTTTTTAATAATAGTGATGACAATATTTGATTGGTCCAACATGGATTGAGATTATTTTTTTTAGAAAATACTGGCTCTTCAACGACAACAACAATCTTGTCATTCAAGAGAGAAATGCAAAATATTGAAATATAAACTTTTTATAAAAATTAATGAGTTGTCAATTTTTTATTTTTTAATATTGATGAAGACAAAATTTGATTCACACTTAACACGCCCAGCATTTTCCCCTTTTTTTTTCATTTTTTCTTTCGCTCTTCTTGTTCTTTGATTGACGATTATATATCCTTCATTTCACAAGTCACAACTCACAGGACAAAATTGATTCCGTTAATGTTAACTTCCAATTTCAAAATTTCAAATAGGAATAAACAGGAAAGATCATATTTATTGCCAACAAAGTAGGCCAGAAAATTTGAACAGATCACAGCTCCGACGATGGAGAAAATTGGAATTACTTCAAACAAACATCCTGCTCCTGCGCACTGGTTGTATGTGATTTCATATACTCCAAAATCTGATCAATTAATTTCCCCTCTTTTTCTTCATTCACGAACACATCCTTCATCTCCTTCACGCCCTCTCTGTAAATCTTGCCTTCCTCCTTCACCATCACCAGCTTCACCGATTCCGCCACCGAATCCCTGCTAAACCATCCGTCCATCT